GGTTTACAGAAAGCTCTTGGATTAAAGGTGTATGCTAGGGCTGAGCCACATCATAACTAGAAACAGGTTTTTCTAGTTCACAATCTCAGTTCACAGTGTGATCAAATATCCTGCAACAAGGAATCATACCTAAAGAAGTAAAAAAAAAAAGTGACAGCGATATCTCACTAAATAGAATATACACACACTCAGAGAGAAATAAGACCAAATCAAATTTGGGGGGTTAGAGAGTGCAAGAAATAGAAACTTCGCCAGAGAGGCCCACCCCACCCCAGGTTTAGCAAGTGAAAATAATCTGCAAACTTAACTATAGGTTAACACAGATTACATTGTCTGGAAACACAGAAGATGATGATGACAACAATAAACAGGACACTGTGGAGTGGCTCAGTTCATGATGGTGAAAACCATTCTTGTTGTGTAAGACCAAGAAACAAGCAGTGTGTGAAGTAGCAACTGGAAGCCAGGCTGTAATCTTCAGATACCTGCTCCAGTGACCCCCTTCCACCAGTTAGTTCCCACCTCCTGAAGGCTCCACAGCTTCTCAAAATAGCATTACCAGTTAGTGAACAAGTATTCAAAACATGAGGCTGTGCAACATTTTACTCAACCCTCAAAACTCGTGACCAAATGCATTTAATCCAACTTTAAGAGTCCCAATAACGTTCAGAAGTATAACTGTATAGTCTATTGAGACTTGGGGCCATCTGTTAGCTGTGAGCTTATTAAGTAAAAAATGAAGCTACTTTAAACATACAGCGACACAGAGGAGACACCCCCATTCCAAAAGAGAATAATGGGAGAATGAAGTAAGGGATAGGACCAAAGCTAGACTGAAAGCCAGAGGGCCAAATGTTAAGCTGCCTGGCTCCACAACCAGCCTCTAGAGCATATGGGATCAGGATTTGAGCTCCAGTGGGTTTGGGTAGCACTACCTCTCCATTGTGGCCTCTTTCTTGTGATGCCTTTACTGGGTGTCTAGCTTTGTTAGGTAAGCCACCTTTCTATTGTCTACAGTATCCTTGAGTCTTATCATAGCTTAGGCTTCAACCTCAAAGTCTCATACATTCCTCTCTCCTGACTCCTGGAAGGGAATATGACTCTGTTACATATTGCCTGTCCTCCTAGGCTTTCCTCTGGAATCCTGTTGGAAGCCCCTACGACCCTGTAACTCTTGTGCTGTCTATGCCTGTAGACAGCATCATGTGGATAATAGCAAATAATGCCACTAGGCCAAGTATTAGCCAGATCCCACTGGACTGACTAACTGCAGTGGTGTGATATTTTTTCTCAGCTTGATACAAACCTAGACATACCTAGGAAGAAGGAAGCTCAGTTGAAAAAATGCTTTCTTCAGATTGACCTATGGGCATGTCTCTGGTAGCATTTTCTTGATTGCTAGTTGATGAAGAGGGTCCAGACCACTGTGGGCAGTTCCATCCTTAGGCAAGTGTAAGAAAGGTAGGTAAACCTGAGTCTGGAGAAAGTCAGTTAGCAGCATTTCTCTGTGGTCTCTGCTTCAGTTCTTAACTTGACATTCCACCATGATAGACCATACAGAGCCAAATCTTTTTTTCCCCAAGTTACATTTGTGGTCAATGTTATATCACAGTAATAGAAAATACACTAGAACAAGAGGCCTCTGAGTGCCTGGGTAGCGGGACCTTATCTAGCAGGCTGTACTGGAAAAATGTTCACCTCAGAGCCCATGGTTCTCACTAATTCCTGAAGTGCCCCCAAGGCATCCTTCCTTTGCCACAGTACTGATTGCTCGTTTCTGTGTAATGATGCTAAGCTTTTCACCATCTTTGTCTTATTGTAAGTTCCTTTTCTTACTAGAATATAGAGCTTTCACTCAGTTCAACTTTGCTTTTTGTTTTGTTCTATTTTGTTCCTGATTTTTGCTGTGAATGTGGGTAAGGGCAGGCAGAAATAACTGCTGTAGATTGAATGCTATGCTCTCTTGAAATTTCCTCCATCAAAAAATCAGTCTACTACTTCTTAGTGCAGCTCACTTAAATTTACATGACACAGGTAGAATATTTTGTCAGAATGTAACATGAATGGCCTTTACTCCAATTGAAAGTCCTTGTCACTGTATGGACTGTTATGGAAGTTGTTAGGGTCAGAGCTTGGACCCTAGCAGCATTAACCAACTAGGATCATCATCTACCTTAAATAGGCCAGGTAAACAGACAAGTATTGGTAAAAAGTAGAGAAGGATTATTTACTCAGAGACCCATTGACCCTTTAGTTCTTTAAATCCATCTTCAGGTCTGGCATGAGATTTTGGTTTAGAGGGTATATTAGTTACTTCTCTTTTTGATGAGACGAAATACCTGAGAAAGCAGCTTAGGAGGGAGAGGGTTTGTCTTGGCTCGCAGTTGGACAGTGTGGCCCAGGATGGCAGGGGAGTCAGTGGTGGCAGGCACTTGAGGCAGCTTGTCCCACTGTACCTGCAGCCAGGAGAAAGATGAACGGATGCCTGTGCTCAGCTCACCTTCTCCTTTCTGTTTAGTGTAGGACCCTGTTAATCCGGAAAATTCCTTACAGGTCTACCCAGAGGCTTGTTTCCCTGATTTTAAATTCTGCTAACTTGACAATCAAGATTATCACAGATGTCAGGAGGTCTATGTAGCTAAATAGTCCCAGTCAAGCTTGGCCCTGCCCTGTCAGTGACCTGTCATTGTCTGGGCTACAGTTTCTCCTACAAGGTGGTCTGATACATTGTCAGAACTACATGAAATCTCTTTCCTGGAGACAGGGTTCTCCTGTGGCTTCTACCAGGCTTTAGCCTTTTTCTTCTCTTAGCGTTAGAATCCCCAGGGAAATTCCAAATTCTTGGAGCCCATTAATCCTCAGTGTCAGGCCCTCAGTAACCTGATAGCTGAAGGGAGGACGCAAGTGTCTCTTTAAATTATCTTCATTCCTGCCTGGATGGTTGGAGTACAGTTGTCACTGTCTTCATTTCCACTGGCATTCTGTTCTTACGTACTCCCATCAGATTCATATTTTTTTAAGTCTTTTCAACATTCTAGGACTTCCCCAGCCTGAATCTACAGGCACTTGAAAACTATTTCCACAGACCAATTCCAAAGGCTTTTTGCATGGGGTGTAGTTACATAATGACTATTTTTCTGGTGCTAGTTTTCTCATGTTATTTTTATATTGTTGCTGCCACAGTAATGTAGGAAAGGTGTATTCTTGTTGATGAATCCAGGAGGATTCAATTTATAAGTGGGAAAGGCATAGGAGAGCTGCTGTTTGTGGTAGTGGGAGTGTGTAGGGAGGCTATCCATATCACAGTATGCTAGGACCAGAGAATGAGGCAGGAACCAGAGGCAAGTAGACTCAGAGACTCACCCTTCATGACTTACTCCTGTCATCCAGGTCCCATCTCCTAAGGGTTTGTGGCTTTCTGAAATTGTGCCTAGCTGAGAGACACAAATTCAAACCATGAGCCTCTGTGAGACATTTCAGATTCAAGTCAAGATTTACTTTATTTTTAAGTATGCATTTGTGTTGTTGGGGTGGAGGTGTATGAACATGCACTTGAGTGCAGGCGTCCACAGAGGCCAGAGGCCTAGGATCCCCCTGAGCTGGAGTTACAGATGGTTGTGAGCACTCCATAATGTGTACTGGGAATTGAACTTAGGTCCTGTGCCTGAGCAGCGTGCGCTCTTAACTGCTAAGCCATATTTCTAGTCCCTATGTGAGAAATTTTTATGTGACCTTGGGTGTGTAGATATATAAATGGATCTTCAAGTCAAACATTTACTGATAGTAAATCATATAGAAATTTGTTTTAAAACAGTGGTTTGGGATACACATAATTTTACCATTTATTAATGAAGAAAGAAAATTTGCATCCTAATAAGGTTAAACTAAATCATGTGATATGAAACTGATTGTCACTCCAAAAGGTTGTAAAAAGTTAGATTTCTTTGGAGATTGGTTTGAAGCACCTCAGGGGAATGCTGTGACGATTGCTCGCTCTGAAGGCTATTGAGGCACCTCTGGCATCCCCCCTCCACACCTCTCACAGTGGTCCCCTTTCTCTTATTCTTGATCTCTTTAAGACCCCATCATGTTTATTTTCCTATATGTGTATCCACTTCCTTTCCTGACTGGCTGATACCCTCCTTTACATTGAACAACAGATAAGTATACATCTGGTAAAATTCACTGGGCCCTAAAACATCTATGTATCTAGCACATACTTACCTATCTACTTTCATCTCTTTACTAATCTCTTGCCAAAGTTATCTTTTCTCTGCTGGGCAGCCTTTCCAGACCTCAGAATTCACATACCTAATCCCTTGACCTAATCACCTTCCCTTCTGAATGTACAATGCTTATCTCACTTTGATGTGAACCTCTCAAATAGACCCTTGTGGGTGTTCTAACAGAATATAAGCACCCCCACCTCAGGCCCTTTATTTCTTTACTAGCACTTAACACACTTTCTGGTTTTTTGTTTGTTAGTTTTGCCTACTTTTTATTGTTTATTCTTTTTTCTTTAAAACTGTTTTTTCGAGTGACTTTATATGTTCAGTCCATAGATGCTAAATGACTTGTGAATAAATTACATATTTCTGTCAATAATCCTTGGACACAACATTTCATGCTCAACTTAGCATTGTAAGATAGAATTTCTTTTGTCTACAAAGTATTTATTATTTTATTTGGATATTTTGCCTGCAAGTGTGTGTGCATACCTTATGCATGTCTGGTCCCTGCAGAGGCCAGAAGAGGGTATCAGAACTGGAACTGGAGTTACAGTCAATCATAAGATGTCATCTGGGTGCTGGGGACTGAACCCAGATCCTCTGTAACAGCACAGTGCTTGTAATTACTGAGCAGTCTCTCCAGCCCCCAAAGTGTGTCTTTTAAAAATCTAGCTTGGCCACATGATTATCCCCTAGACACTGTCAATGCTTTATTTCTCTAGACAGCTCTTGCCACTTTTATCATTAAGGCTACTTTTGTTCACTGTGCAGAATGATGGTGGAGTTCGTCCTTTTCAGCTTCAGAACTGGAAGCAGAAAGTTAGTCAGATGAAGAAAGCAGAATTCATACGCACAGCAGAAAAATTAAAGAATCAGTGAGTATAAAAATATATTGCCTTTCCATTAAAGTTTCAATAGAGGATGAAATCCTTTCAGCTTCTCTCTTACCTTTTGCTTCATCTCACAAACAACAAAAACCTCCTGGACACATCCTCTAGCCCATAGGACTTGCTGCAGTCTCACCTATTTCTTCCAGTGTGTTTATCTATATAAATTTTTCTCTGTGTTGCAAGATGAGTAGCTCTGGGAAACTGTGGAGAACATTGCCTCTCAGGTTGTGTGCAGTGATGTCATTGGCTAGAGACATCCTGCTGCATATTATAGTCAGAATTAGAGAGTAAATATTCATATTTACCTTGTGGGAGAAGAAAAACAAACACTGAGAAAATTGATTCTTTGCCAACTTAAAATGAAAATAAAACCTCCTTCATAGTATATTTTATTTTCTCAAGTAAAACAAGAGAAAATAAGACACATGAACCAAGCTGCCCAGTAGCTCCATCTGTGTAGGGGACCTAGGTCCAGTCCGTGCATGGTCCTTGGTTGGTGCTTCAGTTTCCACAAGACCCCCTAGGCTCTGGTTAGTTGGCTCTGTTGGTCTTCTTGTGGAGCTTCTGTCCCCTCTGGGTCCTTCTATCCTCCACTTTCCCCCTCCCACTCTTCCACAAGACTCCCTGTGTTCCATCCAATGTTTGGCTGAGAGTCTCAGCATCTGTTTCAATCCGCTGCTGGTTGAAGCCTCTCAGAGGACAGTTAGTCTCTTGTCTGCACACATAACAGAATATCTTTGTTTTCTCAAGTAAAACAAGAGAAAATAAAATATAACACTAAGTGTAACTAACACTTAGACCCTTAAAGCCAAAGGCTTCTGTATTTTCAAAGGAAATATGTAATAGTTCAAATTATAGTTGGCTAAATGTGGACTAAACTAGTAACCTCTATTTTAGCTAATATTTTGATCCCTTACCCTTATTAGCCCAAGTAATAAGAATATTATTTTTAAATGTATTGAACATAAAGTAGTAATTATTGTGAATGTCTTCATATATTGAAACATTTAAATTAAATTTATATGTTGTTTCTTTTCCTAAAGAGTTATTGTCATAGAAAAAGATAAACACAATCATTTCTACAACCAAAGAGGCGACTTCAAAACTGAGCACAGTATGCTGGAAGAGCTGGAAAATAAACTGATAAACAGCAGGAAGACAGAAAGTAAGTTGGGTTCATGATGATTTATAAACTGTCGAGTGATCTAATGCTGCCCTGTGCTGTCCTTGTGCACTTGCTGTGCTGTAGATCTGTGGAGACACACAGCTGGTGAGAAGTTTGTTTTTTAAGGACATGTATTTATTTTATTTTCCCGTTACCATTCAGTTATTATAACTGAATTGTTTTTCTAAGTCTGTTTCTTCCATATTAATATGAAAGACTTGATTTTGAGTTGATAAATCAGCGAATGCTATTAATATTAAAAAAAATACTTGGTTTCCTGTGCTTTCTGCACTCTGGCATTGAGCACTAGACCCAGTAATACACCACTGTTTGTGTAGTGATAACACTGGGTTATTCCCAAGCCTGAGTTTCCTTGCCTACAATTTCTGCCTCAGGAGAACTGTCCTGTATCTGATACTGAGATGAAATTAAAAAAACAAACAAACAAACAAAAAAAAAAAAAAAAACAAAACCTTACAGGTTATACAGTAAATATGTTCTGTTGTTTATTATGCATATTAATCATTGTCATAGGGCATGACAGTATCTTATAGACTTAGATTCTGCATGTTACAAAAATCTTTACACTAAAAAAGCTACTTAGCATTGCTCCAGAAAAACATAGTGGCTGTTACTAAGCTTTACAATGTCCTGATTTGTTAGATAGAGATTAAACTGCTCATGATACTGTCGTATCACCAGGTAAATGAAATTTCTAGGAATTTTCCTTTCTATATATAAGATTATACCATTTTTAAAAAGTCATCTTTTGTAATGGAGTAGCAAGACTCATTCTCTCTCATCTGCTGGAATGAGAATAGGATGTAATGGAAATACCACCTATCAGCTGAATTCATAAAGAAATCTAGATGGTGATGTCTTAACTAGTGCTACTTTTGCTTTTGCAGACACTGGCCGGGTGATCTTCCATCACTTGCTTATATTCTTATACAGAGGGTCCACATTTGTTTATTTTTAGGTGGCTTGTTTTGCCCTTTCTTATATTTCTTTGAGATAAGGTCTCCTGTGGCCCAGACTGACTTTGAGCTCTCCATATTGCCAGGATTGACCTCAAACTCTTGAGTCTTCTACCTACTTTCCAAATGCTGGCATTATGGGCACACACCAACATGTCCAATTCATTTTTCTCCCTTTTCAATTCAATTTTAATTTTCTTTACTGTTTTCTATTCTTCAGTTTTGCTGTTCATTATTAATACTCTGTGCCTGTCTCAGAAAGGTGTGAGCACATGGTCTTTGTCTTCGATAGGGTTTCTATTGCTGTGCAGAGACACTATGACCATAACAACTCTCATAAAAGTAAACATTTAATTGGGGCTGGCTTACAGTTCAGAGGTTTAGTTTGTTCTCATCATGGCCGGAAGCATGGCAACAAGCAGGCAGACATGGTGCTGGAGAAGATGCTAAGAGTTCTACATCCAAATCCAAAGACAGCAGGATCAGAGATACATTGGACCTGGCTTGAACATCTGAAACTTCAAACCACCCCCAGTGACATAATTCCTCCAACAAAGCCACACCTACTCCAACAAGGCTATACCTCTTAATAGTGCCACTTCCCTATGAGCCTATGGGGGCATTTTCATTCAAACCTCCACAGTCTCTATATAAGCAGACATACTTTTTTCATGGAGCACAGCTCTGAAAAAGTAAATAGCTATTCCTTACCTCAGGAACCATTTCTTGGTTTTTTATACGTGCTTGCATTTCTATTATCTGTGAGTGGTTTGGCTGTACAGTGTTTCATTTCAAAATGACAAATGAAATAAGATTGCAAAAGATAATTGTGTAACTGATGAGCTTTGGGCAAAAGGAAAATGACAGAAGTCACTTCCTAATTATTTAACCTTGCTAACAAAGGTCCTTTCCTTCCTTCACTGGCTTTCACCCTTTCCCACACCCCTTCCTCCCTGCCTCCTGAGTGTCATGGTTTACTGCTGAGTTCCACCACACTCAGCCTCAGGAAAGTTCCTTGACTTAAAAATTCAATAGAGGACCAAGCCTTATAAAATGAAAAGGATGATTTTTCTGTGTATTGTTAGACTTTGTAATTTTATAGAGTATAACTTTATTTTTTAATTAGTTAATTAATTCACTTTACATCCTAGTCATAGCTCCCCCCTCCTCTCCTTCCAGTCCCGTCTGCCCTCTCCTATTCCTCAGAAAATGGGAGCCCCCCTTACCTACCTACCTCAGCTCATCAAGTCATATGAGGACTGATTTTGTCCTCTTCTGTGGCCTGGTAAGGCAGTCCTCTCAGGGGGAAGTGATCAAAAAGCAGGCAACAGAGTCCATGTCAGAGATAGCCTCTGCTCCCCTTACTAGTGGACCCACTTGAAGCCTGAGCTGCCAATCAGCTACCTATATATAGAGGACACTAATATCTATCAACATCAATGGACTCAGCTCTCCAGTAAAAAGACACAGACTAACAGAACGGTTGCATAAACAGGACTCATCATTCTGCTGCATATAAGAAACACACCTCAATAACAGAGTAAAGGGCTGAAAAAATGTTTTCTAAGCAAACAGACCCAAGAAGCAAGCTGGAGTAGCTTTCCTAATATCTAATAAAATAGACTTTCAACCAGAATTAATCAAAAGAGATAGGGATGGATAGTTCATTCTCATCAAAGGAAAAATCCACCAAGAGGAGATCTCAATGCTGAACATTTATGCCTCAAATACAAGGGCACTTGTATTTATAAAAGAAACATTATTAAAGCTTAAGACACACATCAATCCCCAAACATTAATAGTGGGACACTTCAACACCCCACTCTCACCAATGGACAGATCATCGAAACAGAAGCTAAATAGAATCATAATGAAGCTTACAGAGGTCATGAATCAAATGGACCTAATAGCTATCTACAGAACTTTTCACCCAAATACATACAAAAAAAATACTTTCTTCTCAGCACCACATGGAACTCTATCCAAAATTGACCATATGGTCGGTCACAAAGCAAATTCAATACAAGAAGATTGAATTAACCAATTGTTCTTTATCAGATCACCATGGATTAAAGCTAGACCTCAACAACAGAAATAACAAAAAAAATTACACACTCATGGGTACTGAGCAACTCTGCTCAGTGGCCACTGGGTCAGGGAAGAAATAAAGAAAGAAATTAAACACTTTCCTAGAATTCAATGAAAATGAAGACACAGTATACTCAAACTTATCAGACACCATGAAAGTAGTGCTAAGAGGAAAGTTTATAGCGCTAAGTACCTTCATAAAGAAATCAGAGAGATCAGGTACTAGCAACTTCACAGCTTACCTGAAAGCTCCAGATTATCTCTTTAAAAGTAGAACTATGGCGGCTGTTTTCAACCTGTGGGTTGCAGCCCCCTTGGGAGTCACATATCAGATATCCTGCATATTAGATATTTGCATTATGATTCATAACAGTAAAATTACAGTTAGGAAATAGCAACAAAATAATTTCATGGTGTGTGGGGGGTCATCACAACACTGAACCAAGGGGCTGGAGAGATGGCTGAGTGTTTAAGAGAACTTGCTGCTCTTTCAGAAGACTGGAGTTCAGTTCCCAGGACCCATACTGGGAAGCTTACAACAGCTCCGGGGGCTTCAGTGCCCTTGTCTGGCCTCCACTCAGACCTACATATATGTGTGAGTATATACATACCCAGAGATAGATACATATAAATCAAGATAAAAAGATCTTTAAAATAAAGAATTTTCTTAAAATTTTGTTTGTTTTATAAAGTAGAACCATGCCAAAGTCAAAATACTCATATTTGGAGCCTTAATCTGGATGTTGGCTCTGGCTCCAAACCTATTGATAAGTTAGAAAAAACAAAACCAAAAAATGCCAGTGTCTCAGTGTTCTACTACTTGCTTTGCATGTACAAGAAAACCTGGGTTTGATTCCCAGCCCTGAAAAAAGTTTCCTTTAAGGGTTCTTGTAATGAAGCCCTTGGTGTTTTATGCTTGTGACAAGTTGCAGAAACAAAACAACAGAAAAGGAGGATGCACAGATTACTTGATTATGACAAAGAGATACTATCATTTGCACAGGTACAAATGAGTGTGAGTGTTTATGCCGTAAGGCTCCTAATGTAAATAAACATCCCAGCATAATCACTTCAAAAAATGATGAAGGAACTGGGCATGGTGGCACACACCTGTGATCCTAGCACTCTGGGATACAGAGGCAGGCGGATTTCTGTGAGTTTGAGGCCAGCCTGGTCTACAAAGTGAGTCCAGGACAACCAAGGCTATACAGAGAAACCCTGTCTGTCAAAACAAAACAAAACAAAACAGCATATTAGATGTTTACATTATGATTATTAAATAGTTTGTAATTTAGAGAACAATAAAGTAAGACATTTGACATTGGTTCCTGGCCTCCACACAGATAAAAATCACATACACCACACATGCATATATATACACACACATATAAACACACACACACACACATGCATAAACATGCATACACATTCATACATACACTTGCACGCGCACACAGACACAGAAAGAGAGTTAATGGTTAGTTTTAATATTTCCAAAATAAAGTTAAAGGCAATTTCTTTTTCCAAAAATTATAACAAGTTAAAAAATGCCTTTAAAGATCACATCCTAAATTTAATTTACTCATCATGCTTTTAAAACAGTAGTCAGTAACTCAGTCTCCACAGAAGGAAAAAAGATACATCTTCATGTTGCAGGTTTACAGTAAAAGTGGAACCAACACTCCTTTCAAATATTAGGGACTGAGATGCTTTATGTGGTGCAACAGCAACTACTGTTCATATGGTTCTGACAGAAATGGCCTTGGTTTAATCATTCTTGGCTGTCTTTCAGCTAAGGAAAGTTTGGAGTTTACCTGCAGAAGCTTAATTGTAGCCACAATGGTTTCAGAATTAAAGTATGGACTTTTCATTACAGGAGCAAAAATCCAGCAGCAGTTGGCCAAAATACATAACAATGTAAAGAAACTTCAGCACCAGCTGAAAGATGTGAAGCCTACACCTGATTGTAAGCAGAGATCAGTAGAAGATTCTCTTAAAGATTGTTCTTTCTGCTAGTGTGTTAGAAAAATGTATGCTTTTCTGGTTTGTCAAGATATTTGTCAAGGACATTTGTCTGTTCTTGTCTATTTGGTATCGGGGAAGCCAGTCCTGCCTTGTTAGGAATTAATAAGGGTAGAGTGGAGAAGTATAGTATTCAGAGTTTATGTAGCATTTTTCAGCCATTGAACTACCACTCAGTCCTTAACCATTGTAAAATAGGCTGAAGAGATGTTGTAAGGTAGCACAGGAAGGTTCAGATTTAGCGAACTAAGTAGAAGAAAAGACTGTTTTCGCAATTCCTGTCATTTGGTTTTTTGAAAAAAGAAAATTACCTTTCAGAAGTAATTCAAACACATAAGAAATGGTTTGACTTTACTGGGGCAAGTGCTAGTTTGAAGGGAGGAAAGAAAAAAAAATTACATCCTCACCTCCCATGTCAAAACTCATTCCTGAAGGCTCAAAGCATAGTGTTCAAGATATATGGGCCCAGAATGTACAAGATCAAAGGCTTGATCTGTCATTTGTTAGTTAGGACATTTCAGGCAAATTAATAGATCTCTCTGAGCTTGCATGTCTTCAGCTGTGCACTGGAGATCATAAACCTTCTGGTAGGGTTGGGGGCAGGATGGAGTGGACCAGTGCTCTAGAATATGTGTTCAGTGCTTGGAGCAAGCACTAAAACTGGCAAACGGGAAAAGAATGGATAGTATTCATTAAATTAAATGTGCTAAAGGGAACATGCAACAACTTTCTGGTAGAATTCTGTTGTATAAGAACAAAAATCTAAAGAAGAGATGGCCATAATTGATTACTGTAGGAATACTTAAAACCTATAAATACTGTTGAAAGACAAATTAGAAAAGTATATGTATGTGTATAATTTATTAATTGAATACTCATAAGATATATAGAATGTCTACAGATTCAAGTAACCAAAATAAAGTGATAGAAAAATGGACAAAGATTATAAGGCACACAATGTATCAAAAGAAATATAAAACTTACCTGAAATAAATGTCCATGCTTATTAATAATCACAAAAAAAGTCAGCTAAATTGATGACAGGTTCTTGACTTATTTTGGAAATGATTAGAAGCTCATGGAGGAAGGATGGTGGAGCCTCTGCAGAACAGAGGAACAAGTCTCACATACTGTAGAATAGAAGGACTTTGTGTAGTCAGTATTTCAAGTTATTAGTTATCTTATACAAATACTTATTTGGACATGTTAAAGTATGTGCACAGATTTTTAGTGTACCATTGTACATATTTAAAAGTTCATCAACAAGAAAATTAAATGAATCAAGATAGTTTTAGACAATGAAATGCCATACGTAATCATAGAAAAAGTGAGGCAGTAGTATATATACTTGTATTTTAGGTTAAGCATAACTCTTTTTGTTGGTGCTTTTTTGTTTTTTGTTTTGTTTTGTTTTAGGCCTTGCTATGTAGCTCTGGCTGCCCTCCAACTCACAGATATTCACCTGCTTCCACGTTGTAAGTGCTGAGATTAAAGCTGTGCACCACTATGCCTGACTGTCCACATTTTTAAACCAAAACATTTTCTTACATAAAAATTGCAAATCAAACGATAGTATGTGTAGTATGAAATAATTTTTCTAAAAGTTATACTGATTATAGGATTTAATAATATGGGTATATAGGAAATGCCTTTAATCAGAAAGAAATTATAATCACAAAAATGTACTTGTGAGCATTTTTCTTAGTTGCTTAGGCTAAGAAAGGTTTTTGAAATTAGGATTAGTCCATACTTATTATTCTTAATTATTAACTCAGCTATATTGAAATATGACATGTCTTTTTTTTACAGTTGTTGAAAAGCTCAGAGAAATGATGGAAGAAATTGAAAATGCAATCAATACTTTTAAAGAAGAACAGAGACTAATGTATGTTTTTAAAGTCATTTAACCTAAAGTTTTGACTTTGATTTTCTAGTCACCCTTAGGTTGTTGCCTGCAAATATACTGAGTCTTGTACAAAAGCAACCTAAGACTGCCTCTGTCCTACAGTTTAAATAAATGGCCTTTAAAGTAAATTTTCATTTATCTTGTACAGCAGAAGATCACAAATAAAATTTGCAGGATTGTTTATGTTTGAGGAAATAAACTGCTTTTAAGGCTCAGATATGAATATTATTATTAGAAATGCCAACGGGACATGAAACGGTCAGAAATAGTTAAATTTTCAGGAAAGTGAAGGGTAATATGGTTTAGTTGTTATGTTATCCAACTTTTTTTTTCTTAATTTTAGATATGAAGAGCTTATTCAAGAAGAGAAAACAACGAATAGTGAGTTGAGTGCCGTCTCCAGGAAAATCGACTCTTGGGCTTTGGGTAATTCGGAAACAGAGAAAGCTTTCAGAGCGATCTCAAGCAAAGTTCCTGTAGACAGAGTGACACCAAGTACTCTTCCGGAAGAAGTGGTAGAATTTGAAAAATTCCTTCAGCAAACTGGAGGGCGACAGGGGGGCTGGGATGACTTTGACCACCAGAACTTCGTGAAAGTCAGAAACAAACATAAGGGAAAGCCGACATTTATGAAGGAGGTTGTAGAACACCTTCCAGGAAGAACGCTGGAGGAAGTTCAGCAACACGAGAAGTGGTATCAGAAATTCCTGGCTCTAGAAGAAAAGAAAAAAGAGGTAATAGTGTTAGTATTTATTTAAAAGGATGGCACGGACACACACAGTCTTAACTCCAATGAGGTTTATTGGATGGTGATGGAGAGAGAGGGAAGGAGAGAGAGATGGTGGGAGGAGGGGCCGCCCTGACAGAGAGAGGGGAGAGTAAGAGAGTGACAAAGTGCCAAGTTGGTCCTTTTATGGAGCAATTGAACCACACCTGCCAGGTAGGCCTATCTGGTGGTGGTGGGGGGACACATGATGACATCATATGTTGCTAGGCAACCCAGAAGCAGGCTGCCTAAATACTAACAAATAGTAATTACAGCAGCTGTTGTGCATTGTGTGGGTCTCTGTGCCATGCTTGCAAAACTCTTAGCTCATTAGCTTGCCACAAATAGCATAAAGACAGCCATGGTCTCACAACAGATGAAACCAAGATGCTGAAAAGCTAGGGAACTTTTACCCAGTGGTACAACTTCAATTGGAGTTCCTAAGACCAAACACTTCTACCACAATTCTACCACGATTCTGTCTCTATGCACCCAGGGCCAGGGTTTACTCATACTTGCGCTGACGGCAGGAAAATGTCATCTTAGCAAAGGCCACATTAGTTTCAATGCGGAACAGACTCTTAAAAGTTTCTTTGGTACTTTTGAACTTGAACCTCATTGCTTAAAGACTCTAATTTTAGCTACCCTAAGAGGATTGTAGCAAATATTCCAGAAGGCTCATTTTCAAATCAGTGTTAGCCTGGCTTTGGCTTAGGTCAGGGTTTCTCAACCTCTGCATCTGGTGCTGCCTAACTGTGCTGTGGTGGATGTCCTGTCCGTGGTAGAGTGGTTATCTGCGACACTGAGCTCCAGCAATAGATGCTCGCAATGTTCTCTTCATTGTAATCAGCAGATGTGTCTCTAGACATTGCTGTATTTGCCTGGGAAGGAAAATCACCCTTGGTTGACAACCATTTAATTTAAATCTAAATAAAATGAGTTACCTGTTGAAAAAAGTCTGAGGGGTTAGTTGTAGTTCATATGTGTTTGCTGTTATTGTTTGAGGTCAGCTATGGTGAACTTCAGCTTGCTTGATTTAGTAAGAATAAATGTCTTTTCTACAAATGACATACCTGAAAAACACTGAAAAATAATGACCTCATGTGTAATCTGAAGATTAGAAAAAGCCATGGATTTTTGTGTTGTTGCTGTCATTGATTTACCCCATCTAAAATAAGGTGAATGTTCCATCCTGAAAGGCAAAGAGGATGGACATCAGAAGAAGACGAAAATAAGTTAGGAACCTGCCACAGAGGGCCTCTGAAAGGCACTGCCCTGCAAACTATCAAGGCAGACGCTGAGACTTATGGCCAACTGTTGGGCAGAGTGCATGGAGTCTTATGAAAAAAATGGGAAATAGTAAGATCTGGAGAGGACAGGAACTCCACAAGGAGAGCAACAGAATCAGAAAATTTGAACACAGGGGTCTTCCCAGAGACTCACACTCCAACCAAGTACCATGCATGGAGATAACCTAGAACCTCTGCACAGATGTAGCCCATGGCAGTTCAGTGTCCAAGTGGGTTACATAGTAATGGGAAGAGGGACTGCCTCTGACATAATCTGATTGGCCTGCTCTTTGATCACTTCCCCCGAGAGGGGAGCAGCCTTAATAGACCACAGAAGATGACAATGAAGTCACTCCTGATGAGACCTAATAGACTAGGATCAGAAGGAAGGAGGACCTCCCCTATCAGTGGACTGGGGGAGGGTCATGCGTGAAGAAGGGGGAGGGAAGGCGGGATTAGCAGGGGAGGCGGGAAGGGTTTATAGGGGGATACAAAATGAATAAAGTGTAATTAATAAAAGTAAAAAAAAAAAAAAAGACTAAATTGTAAGCTGCTAAGATATGTGTAGGCTCTTCTACCACTGCTTGGAACACTAGATTTTCAGTGATTCTCCAACACAGTCAGCATTGCCCTGAAACCTGTTAGAACTTGCCAGACCACTGGATCTCTGGGCCCAACATCCAGTTGTCTAGGTTGCTTCCCAGCTATGTGAAATTCCCTGTCTCAAGAAGGACCAGAACAGTGCTCCTTGTAATAAAAGCAAGTCTCCCCAGTTCCACATTACTCTTATGCACAGTCACTCTGTTTCCTAAAGATTGATAGATTAGAATTGGTGTGTGGCTGAAGTGGAAGGCAGTGTGAGCATAGACAAGTAGTTTACATGTTAGAGGGAAGTTGGGGAAAACACAAGTACTGAGTGCTAAATATACTGAGTTTAAGATGTTGAGTAGAGAATTTCTACCCCTAATTCTTTTAATAGAGCCTGTGTTTTGCATAAGTGCTACTTAACCATCTTCAGACATCCTCTGGTGTCCTTGAATACCTTCTCTTTTTATGTACATCCCCCCCTTCCATTTCCCAGCTGACAAAATATTCCTAGATCAAAGGCTGCCTTCTTTTCAATCCAAAAATAAGTGGACCTGGGGCATTCACTAAGAAGTTTCCCTCCATGCCCTCTGGTGTGTCTATGACGTGTCTCACTTAGGATTGTGCCACTGAAAGCTGATCCATGGACTTGACCCCTGTCTGTAAACTGTGACTACTCTATCATGAAATGAGGTGGTAGTCCATTGCCCAGTAAGCACACTATTCATTTTTAGTTGACTTTTTCCATAGTTTTTTTGTTTGTTTTTGTTTTGTTTGTCTTGGTGAAGGAAAAAGTCCATTCTGTCACAAATTCCTGACATGTTTGAGGACTGGCATATCTAGTAGTACTGTCTAGATATTATTTGGTATTGTTAATCATCTCCGGATCCTACAGCTTTGCTTTTCATATCATCTCACTATGTAGGATTTATTAAATGAATGAATGAATGGTAAACTGTAAGGAAAGATGAGGAAATAGTATCCTGACCAGGGTGCAGACTGAGTAATACAGTATTTGGTATACTATGTAGCATAAAGGTTGCTAGACTTTTAAATAGCCTTTGAAATATTCATACTTAGAGATGGAACATGTCATTCTTTTTTTTCCCCTGCAATTAAGAAGCGTTGTGTACCTGGCACTAACTCATTTAATTGCCACAATAACTGTGTAAGAATTACACACTGTGAATTACCACTCTGTGGATGTCCTAGTTACTTTTCTATAGCTATGTCAAAACACCATGACCAAGGCAATTTGATAAAAGAAAGCATTTGATTTGGGACTTACTGTTCCAGGGCCTTACTTACAGTTCATGACCATCATGATAGAGCATGGCAGAACACAGGTAGGCATGGTCCTGGAACAGTAGTGGAGAGCTTATATCTTGATCCATAACTATGAGGCAGAGAAAGAGAGCTAACTAAAGAATGGTGTGTGCGTTTGAAACAACAACCTATGACCAGTGACACACCTTCTCCAACAAGACCACAGCTTTCAATCCTTCCCAAACAGTTCTACCAACTGGGGACAAATCATTCAAAAATACAAGCCTAGAGAGACCATTCTCATTCAGATCACAGTAGATGAGCAGAGGATAGACTAGTGACTCATCCAGGCTCAGACCTAATTAATAGGAAAGCCAGAATTTGTTCCCAAATAAAATGGCTTCAAAGCTCATGGTCTTCTCTATCTAATTTTTCAATTCTTCTGATATCTGTTAAGAGAAACATCTCTTAGAACACATAGTATGTCTAGAAAGAGAATTTGAAAACAAATGTGAGGCTATTAGAGGAAATTTCAGTACCTGAGAATGATGGAGAAGAGTTCCTACATGCAGAGGAAGGCCAATAAATAACTCAGGGTCCAGAGATTTACAGGATACAATATTTTTTATTTTTAATGTAAATAGAAAAAAGTTGCACTGGTTTAAAACAAATTCTAAAACCTAAACATTAACATCTACAAATCAACATTTTTCTATGAAAATAGAACTGAGGTGGTATTTTAAATGCCGCAGACTGATCACAAGCAGTTTTGTTTTTGTTTTTTCACTTTGATCATTTTAGTCTATTCGAAATTGGAAAACTAAAAAGCAGCAAAAGAAAGAGGAAATACTCAAGTTAAAAGAAAAGGCAGACACCACATCTATGCCTTCTCATGGCAAACCAGAAGACAGTCAAAAACAGAGAGAGGAACAGAGAAAGAAGCAGAAGATGGCAGTTGAAGCTTGGAAAAAGCAGAAAAGTATAGAGATGTCAATAAAGCATGCTTCCCAGCTCAAAGAAGAGGAAGAGAAAGAGAGAAAGCAGCAGAAAGAGCGCCAGCGGCAGTCCAAGTTAAAACTACTCCTAGAAAGTTACACCCAACAGAAAAGAGAGCAAGAAGAGTTCCTGAGGCTTGAGAAAGAGATAAAGGAAAAGATAGAAAAGGCAGAAAAAAGGAAAACTGCTGCTGATGAGATTTCCAGGTTTCAAGAAAGAGTGAGTAAACATCCTAAGTAATTTATGAGTGTGATTCCTGAAGGCATTATTTCCAGGTTTGGTTTCACGGACATTGAGTTCATCCTATCATCTTACATACCACACTAGCACTGGCCTTGCTCTAACAAAATGAGTTATGCTTTACCCTCTAACCTCTAGTAAGTTATAATTTAGTGGAAAAGATATATGCAACCAAAGTCATGGTGTCCTGGTTAGAATTTGTTTGTTTGTTTTTGTTTTTGTCAGGTTGACACAAGAGTCTTCTGGGAAGAGGGACCTTCAATTGAGAAAATGCCTCCATTAGATTGGCCTTTAGTCATACCTGTTTTTGTTACTGGCTGATTTGGGAGGGTCCAACCCACAGAGACTGCCACAGGTGGTCCTGGGCTGTAGAAGAAAGCAGGCTGTAGTAAGCAGTCTCCATGGCCTCTGTTTCAGTTCCTGTCTCCAGGTTCCTGACCTAACTTCCCCCAGTCAGTGATGAACTACCTCTGTAAGCTGAAACAAACCTTTCTCTCCCAAGTTGCTTTTGGTTGTGTTCATCACACCACTAGAAACCTAATTAGGACAGATGCTGAGGTAATTAAGGTGTAGGCTGAGTACTGGGGGCTGAGGGATGTAGATAGAGAGGGTGCTTCCCAAAGCTGTGAGTGTTAGAGAGAAGGGAAGGCTTGACTTGAGTCCTGAGGGAGAAGGGAAGGCGAGCTCTTCTCTAACAAAAGGGAGACCATGACCAAGGGCTTGGAGGTGTGTCAGCTGTGTTGTTTGAGAAACTAGAAACGCTACAGTACACTGCTAGGGATGCAGTTCAGTGGAAGAGCCTAGCATGTTGGAGTCTCTAGGTTCAATTCCTAATCACTCACACACACACACACACACACACACACACACACACACACACACACGAGTTTGTGCTATGTGAACGGAAGATTGTCCTAAAATGCACAAAATATAAACAAAGTAGCTGTCAGTGAGTAAAAATGTTATGAATTGTTAATGGTGTCATTAATGTTCATAAAGGGAGGTACAAAGCAGCAACATTCATAAAGGGAGGTACAAAGAAAAACAGATTAAAAACACTTGTGTGTGAACTTTAGTTCATTTCTTCTAGTTTATGAATAAAACTCTTACTGGGTAACAAAAGATGTCATGTTTACTGATTACCCCCACACGCTAAGCGGGTTCCATAATTTTAAAAGAATTGAGAAGAAAGAAAATAAACAAAACTGAAAACATGAAATCATATGAGAGACTCCAGACTCTACATACCTTTATGGCTAATTGAATAATGGATTTAGTTTAATGAAGAGATTTAGACTGAACCTTTAAGTAAAAAGAAAGTAATGCAGAAAGGCTCTACATGAGTTGCAGTAAGGGAAGTTCAGTTCTTAGCCTTCATTTGAAAACATCACTTTTTGAAAGAGTATTAGCAGCTGATGTAGTTTAAATTGCAAACACTTAAGGAAGCATATTTTAGTTAATTTTGTTTTCTTATTATAATCTTTTTTGTTGGTATTTTCTTAGGATTTACATAAACTTGAATTGAAAATTCTAGATAGACAGGCTAAAGAAGAGGAAAAGGCAGAAAAACAAAGGCGTCTGGCAAAGTTAAAAGAAAAGGTACTCCATTCTGTTTTGTTTGTTTCTGAGACAAATCTTACTATGTAGCCTAGACTGTGCTTGAATGCATAGGTGTGGGCCATCATGCCCTGCTTTAATTTATCTTCACTTTTTAAACTTATTTTTCTTACCAAGATGTAACCATAATTTTTTTCACATTAATGAGGTATTCATTTTCTCATGTATGTAATGTGTTTATTATGTGATGTTGAAATCAGATTAAGTAGTTATTTCTTCAGAAATTTATCACTTCTTTATGGCAAAACCAGTCAAAATCCTTTCTCCTAGCTCTCTGAACTCTACAGTAGAGAATATCTGTTGTTATGCCAACATCAGCACACACCAGGACTTCCCTTTCCCTGCTCTCTCCTTGATACCCCAACTCCTTGACTTTAAGGAGACTGGCAGATCTCTCTCTTTATACTCATTGTTCTCTCTGCTTTATGTTTCACACTTGCATACTGCAGAGCACAGCTTAACACATTTTTAGCAATTATTTGAGTTCTGCCATGTTACTTTAGAAACATTATTTTCTTTTACCTTGAATTTTCTCGCTACTCTTGTTCATTGTCCTTTGCTTATCATTCTTTGCTTATCATTCTTTCTGAACCTCCTTTCTGCATCTGGGCAGCTATGGGCATTGCTTAGTCTCACTGGTAGTGGCTCAGAACCAATGTGTGCCCTCATGGGTCACGTAGACAACTTTATTGGTTTTAGTTACCCTACATTTGTTGTCTGGTTATATTGCTCTAAGCCATAGTCTATTTCAGATAATTAAAACAGAAATGAAATAATGGAACTGGAAAAGGCTAAATTAGCAGTTTATTAATTGATTTTAGCATTGTAAGCATTGTAGCATTGTAAGGGGAGCTTGTTTTGAACACATTAGTTTTTTCATGTTTGGTTAATGCGAAGTATAGTTTTTAAAACTCCTTTATGTTACTAAGGATTGTTCATTTAAGTTAACTGATACTCTTTTTCCTTCTGATTACAGGTTGAAAATAATGTCAGTAGAGATCCCTCTAGGCTTTATAAGCCTACCAAAGGCTGGGAAGAACGAACCAAAAAGATAGGCCCATCAGGCTCTGGGCCACTTCTCCATATCCCACACAGGTGAGAAGGTAGTAGAAGGGTTCATTTATAGAATTTACAATTTTTTTTCTGTCTTAATGTAGTTTTATGCATGGTTGTATTTTATGCAGTTTCTGAATGTATATTTTCATTAACAGATTGCTAAAGCAAATGTGTTTTTATTATATTTGTGTTGTGTGTGTTTTGTGCATGGGCATGTGAATGCTCTGTCTGATATGATGTACCTGTGACTATCAGAGGACAGCTTGGGTTTTTGTGCACCTCCTTCCACCCATGTGCCTTTACCTACTTTCCCAATGTAGCCATCTTGCCAGCTGTACATACATACATATATACATATTTGTTTGTCTGTTTAAGTTGCCAGTTAATCAGTTGCTTTGCTGTTGCTTTGATTTCCCTACATATTTAGAATTGATTTTCTCTTTTTCTCTCTAGGGCCATTCCAACCTGGAGACAAGGAATCTAGAGGGACGATGAGATAATGCAAGCGCTAGTCACTTGATGAGAATATTAGTATATTGTATTTCAGGAGCAGGTGCTGTTTAAATGTCACTAGCTTAGTCAGGTTGGTTATTGTGCTGTATATGAATTGAGAGGTTTTAAATGTCTTGTAGCACTGTCAGTATTCTGTTTCTACAAAGATGGTATATGTTGGCCTATATTGATATACAAGTTATTGAAATAGGTTTATGTTACAAACATTTTTCCATTTAAATACTCAAAATATTCAGATGTTTTGTTTTGTTTTTGTCACGGCTTAATGACATAATTTGGGAGAATCAGTCTTTTTTAAGTCAAAATTTTGTTATTTTTATAACTTGGAAGTAACTAAGCTTGAGTAACAAAAAATGTAAAGTGTCTTTTTAAAAAAAGAGTTGTTTAGTAACTTAGTACTTTCCTAAGTTTAACAAAATGGTAGTGTGTCAATTGTTTCATTTTGTGTAATGAATATTTTGTATTTGATTAAAGCATGCTTTGTTTTATATGGAGACTATTTTAAAAAACCTCCCTTGCTACACATGCCTTACTCATATATTATGATGTCATCATCTGGGTTTTCTGCAACTCTGTCATATTTTCTTTCAATCTTTTCAGACTCCACAGATTTATAAAACCTTTGTGTCTTTGTACCTTACTGGCTGGTACAGTTTTCTTCTGCTTACCTTTGTAAGCTAGTTTTAAACAGTATACTGATGTTTTTTTGACGGAGAAGTAAAAATCTTTGTGTGAAAACAAAATTTAATTCAGCTTTTCATATTAAAACATTTAATGTCATCCTAACTTTAATTAGATTTCAACTTATAAGGAAAAGTATTGTATATGTAAAATATAGGAAATTTACTTCTTACAAACTTTGTCTTTAAATATCTTTAATTATAATTTGAGACATATAGGCTGAATGGCCCCCAAATTACTAGGCTTTGTGATTTAAACATTTTCTTATGTATCATTTAATAGTTACGCACATTTATGGATCCAAAGTATATAAGTTCCAAATTCTGGAAAGTGAATTCTAATTGTAGTTATTGGTGAACAGTGAGAAGTATCCTTGACTGGAAGTGCCGGTTACTTCCAGTTACTCGTTTTCCATTAGTTTTTAAATAATCTGAAATAACCGAGTAATATGCAAGATAGAGGACTTCAACAGAAAGCTGTCTAAGATATAGGAAAAGAACCCTTCCTGGGTTGTTTTGCACTGTGTGCAAATACACCTTCCAGCTCCCTGAAGCGAAGCGAAGCATCCTGGTGATGTGAGTCTTCACTGTCTTTGGTGCTGGTGTTTGGGTTGAACCTAGGGACTTGTGTGTGCCAACTAATTGTTCCATGAGCTTTACTTCTAGCCTTGCCTTTATTTGTGTGTGTGTGTGTGTGTGTGTGTGTGTGTGTGTGTGTGTGTGTGT